AAATTAATTTAATATATATTAAATAACAATTATTAATTATTTTTAATAATTAAAATAAAATAAAATAAAATTATAACAATTTTAATGTTTCTAACAAAAATTAATAATAGCTATAACTATAAGCTGGAAACAATATTTGAGAGTGTTTGATCAAGCGAAGACCCCAAGAAAATCTTGGTCGATTCTGCCACAATGCTTAGCTCTTTAACATCATTCTTCTCTACCGTGGCTGCCTAGAGAATTCATCAAGAAAATAAAAAAGAATTGGTGCCTTGGGGTCTCAAACAAATGGCCCCAACAAATATTACTTATTGAGAAGTACTAGCCATACTCAATATAAGTCGAGAGAGATTATAACCTATCATAATGATTCTGGGTCTCGCCCGGAGCCAACATTTGCTTACTTTAGGCCTACTTTTTTCCTTCTGTTTATTATCTATTCACAAGAAGCTAAACGTGTAGTAGTATTAATCAAGAGAATCCTTTTCTTCTACGGTGGTGTGACACTCTCAAAGGGATTGCAGCTTCTAATCTTGACCTGAAAATCTCCTTTACCACCGTTGATTACATCACAACACTGTCTTCGTGGCGCCTGTTCATTAGATCATCCAAATATTGCATAAATCACGCATAAATGGTAGGGCAGATAATATTGCAGGAAATCAAGCAAAAACATTCATATAGTAGGTCCACCTCCTAAACCAAATTACACTCACACAGTCAAAACGTCATAAAATTTGGTTTGACTTCCCAAAACAAATTCATAAAGTCAATTACAGTCAGGATCAGTTACCAATCATCGGGAATATCAAATTCCAAATTTGATTAATTTCGGCTAAACCCGAATCCGACTCAAAAAAAAAAAAACAAAACAAAAACCCGACTCGACTCGAAAACTAGCAAAAAATAGAGGAAGAAAGAAAGTACCATTGCTTACCATTTTCCATATTTTCGGGTTCAATGTTGAAGCTGAGACGTTGAGGAATTCAGTGGCCAAGAGAGGAGCATATTCAGGTCCATTACACTCCACTTTTTCAATGTTCCTTCTGTACCTTGTAAGGCTCCGATTTTCACCAACATTTTCAACACTTTCCAGGAAAAACAGGACCGGTTTCTGACAAGGGTCTTGACTCATGGGTCGAGTGTTAAACACGAATGGCTCATTCTTCCAGGTCCTCCACGTTTGAAACGTTAGCAAAGTCGTATCTAATTCCTTCGCCGTAACTAATGATGGATAGAGCTGTACTGTGTAACCCCAAGACACCGAAACTGACCAGTTTCGGTTTAAATCGTAACAGAAACTCCGTTGAAGGGTCCGACCGGGATCCACTTGGTAAGCATTGATTAACCTCTTCAGTGAGTCTATCTGATCCATGCCTGGAAAGATGGATTCAACATAGTCTAGGTGGTGCAGCGACACCAGCGGCGCCAATGGGTGTGCCGCTAGTAAACCATAAGGATTTCCTCGAATATCAATCTGTATAATTAATTACGGGTTTAAATCTATATAATATCTAAATGTTAACTTCTTTTTGAAAAGAAAAGAAAGTTTTAAATCTCCAAATCTTTATTTTTCTTCATTATTGTAAGGTTAAGGAAAAACTGAAAAATTTTGACATGGAAACAAAATCAAAGAAAAAAAATCAGAATTAATTATTGAACCTGATGGAAACCGAGCTCCTTAGTGAGAGTTACACCAATCTCTCTCATGCAGCCATCGACCTTTTGATCGGACCCATAAGACGATGCGTATCGATCAATGCAGCCATCCAAAATCGTAACCAGCTCCGCCGCCAAGGGGTAGCTGATGGCAAAGCCGCCGCCACCGTAGGCCATTGTGTATGAGTGAATCACATCTTGCTCCACACTCTCCGAGTTTGCTCCGATGTAGTACATTTGATTATGATCGTATTTCTGTAACACCATGACCAAATTCTTGAGGAAGAAAACGGTGTCGTCGTCTCCCATTACGAACCAGCGGACGTTATCCATCCCGAGCTCGAAAGTCTCCTTCACAATTCTCGCAATACGGAGAGCAGAGCGTGAACCGTACGAACAAGTGTATTTAAACCTAGAAGTATCCGCGGAGATTCTGTAAGGCGGCGAGGTTTCCGGCCAACTCTCATTCTCCAGAGGCTTCTTGTCAAGCCAAACAAACCCACGTGTTATGTTGGGTCTCCACCACAGCTCATTGTAATGGCAGCGATTGTTCCACTTTTCAACAGAGCTACTGATCCCGAAGACAATGTGAGAGAGGTTGGTCTTTTCGTAATTCGGAGTACCAGAAACATCATCTCCGATGGTGATTTTCTGGTGACCGAAAATCCGCAGAGATTTATCACAATGGGAGCATGAGAAGTAGCCATCTGCTCGACTAGGGAAAGCGAAGTAAAACAGGGGACAGAATATTGAAGCAAATGCGAAGAGAGCAATAATTAATTTCAATAAGAAAGGGAAGGAATATGTGGGTTTGATCGTGATTGTTGGAAAAACGAAGAATTTCCAGGGTTTAAAGGGGTCTTGAATCGATTTTTTGGGGAAAGACATCTTTCCGGTATGTCTTCCCGGTGCAAGGGAAAAGGGTTGCAGTCTTGTATCAATCAGAGAAAGATGAAGAGGAGGAGCAGAGGGGGTTTTGGTTTTTTAGGTAAACAATAAAATTGGTTTGGTGGTTTTGATTTATATGTGCATATGCATCTTCTTCCACGCAGAAAATCACTCCCAAAATATTTCTTGCAACTTTAAAGGAATTTTCAATTAAAAAATAAAAAGGACAATCTTTTTTTTTTTTTTTTGAACAAGGGCAATTTTTGGGGATGGGAGGATTGAACCCATGGCATAGGGTTGGCAGAGTGCACCGTTGTCCAATTGGCCTGTATGGCCGGGTGGGGTGAAAAAGAAAAAAAGAGCAATCCAAACTGTATAAAATCGTATAATTTAAATAAGGTTAACTCTCTCATTTGCTCTTTAAATTAAAAAAATTTTTAATTTGATCTCTAAACTATTGTATGGACTTAGATTTGGTTCTTATTGTTAACTAATTTATCCCAAATTGGTCTTTCTGTATAAAAATCAATTGACGTATCGTGTTATTAACATGACATGTGATCATTAAATGACTGTTGTTCGTTGTTAAGTTATTATTTTTTACCATTAAATAATGGATACGTCGATTATTTTTTGTACGAAAGGATCAACTTGAGACTAATTGATAAGCAGTAGGGATCAAATTATGAGTTTATATTATAATTTAGGGATCAAATCAAAAAAAAATTTAGTTTAGAGATCAAATCAGATATCTATATAATAGTTTAGGAACCAAATTAAAAATTTAACTTTTAAATAATTAAATGAGAATGTCCTCTTAATATTGTGGGTGTTTCTTAAGCCTACCATTTTTATTTATCATTTGTACAATTTAAACTATAAAATAAAGTTCTCTTTAGATTTACTGGTATGGAAAAAGAAAGTTTTTTCTGTTCTGTTCTGAATTCTGAATTTCTGATCGCGTGGAGGGGATTCTGTTCCCATTTATTGTGAGTGGTTCTTTCTTTTTTTTGTTCTGAGCTCAAAAGGAAAGTTCGAATTACTAGCGGATGCGAAACCAAAGTAGACCCAGATTCTAAAGCCCAGTTCACCTTGCATTTGGAAATTGGGTTCCACAATTCCAGGAGGCCAATTAAGGTATGCTTGGGCTTGCAGATGAGTTTTTTTTATAGTTGTATAATATTTTTAAATAAATATATTTTATAATTTTTTTAAATTATTTTTTTAAAAAAGTTATAAAAAATTACAATAGATTTCTTATAATTTTATATATAAAATTAAAAATTTAATTTTGAAGTTTTTTAATTATAACTTTTATTAAAAACACATAATATTTAATATAATTATAAAATTGCTCATTAAAACTCAATTTCGTATAATTTAATTATATCATAATTTATAATATTTTAATAATTATAAAAAATTTAAAAAACCTAAATTAGTAAAAAATAGTAAATATTATTTATTTTAACAATTATATATTTTACAATATTTTTAAAATTTTAATTAATAATTAATAAAATCTACCATATTCCATTCATAATTCTTTTAAAAAATAAATAACCAAATGTCAAAACAACTTTCAATCACAAGTACACTACAATAAAATTCAGCACAATCACAATTACAGTTACAACACTTCATAATAATTCTAAACACACTCTTAAGCACTTACCTCTAAGAGAATGAGTATTTTTTGAATATAGATTAGGTATAAAATATATTTAGCACTTGATTTAAAAATTTTTTGTATATTTTTTTAATTTGGTATTTATTTAATAACTTGTGAGTATACAGTTATATACTTGTTAAATAATATTTTACTTTAAAATTTTTCTAAATTAAAATTTAATAAAATATTATTTACTTTCAATCTAAATTTAAATAAAACTAGTAAAATTTTAATAAAATATTATTTATTACAATCTAAATTTTACCATAATCTAAAATACCAATAAAGAACTAAAATTTAGTTTTATATTCAAAACTCAAATCTATGTACTATTAAAAAACTAAACTCAATTAAATAATTAACAATAAAGAATGAAAAATATGTATCAAAAAAATAAAAAATAAAAATAGATTAAATAATAGCATGAAAGTCTTTCAAAGAAAATGTCTAGGTTTTTGGACATGGTCCCCCTAATCCTATGTTACAATTTGTTATAAAGGGATGATGATTAATGGTATTATATCTATTTTAACATTCTAAAATCTATACTTTTAACTTACAACTTTTATCATGTTAAATTTGGAGTTTAAAATTAAAAAGTCATTTATACAATAAATAAAAACTATGCCTTGAAAATCACTAATAGAAAAGTAAAAATAACGAAACTTTGAAGTTATAAGTATTTACTGTTGTTTAAGAGTGCAAAAAAAGGAAAAAGTTGTTGACTATGTGTATAATATGTATTTGATTTAAGGTTTGTTATTTATAGATTAGGTATGTGATTTTTTTTTTGTATTTTATTATTTTTATTTTTAGAAATTGTTGTTATTATATAGATATTAAATATAATAAGTATATATTAAATTTTAATTATACCGGTATAAGTAACATATTAATTAAATAAAATGAGTAAATAAGTCAAAAAACAGTTCTAAACTTTTATATTTGTTACTCAACTTGATACCTTTTATACCTGTGCATATATTATTTTTATGTATATTACTTACCCAATCTTTTTACAATTTGGATAAAACATTTATCCAAACAAATAAATTACTTGCAAGTAACTAGTATACGCATGCCAATGCTCACCCCTAGTCTTTTCCATCATTTTTCCCCTTCAGAGCTCGTTTGGTGTGATTCACTAACTTTTCATGAAGATTGCTTTCAGGGGAAAACTTGGGATGAATCCCCGAATTATTTCCATAATATTGATAATGAATTGTATTGACTAGAACAGGTTTATTTCATGTGTGTCAGGGTTAAAGGCAGATTAATAATTCCATAATATTCACTAAAGAGAATTAAATAAGAGTTTAGTTTATTTTTGTTATAATTTTTTTTTTTAAAATATATATTATACAGTTTAAAATGTATTGAAAATCAAACTATACAATGTTAATGATTAAACAAATTGATAGAGCCTTTAAAATTGGGGACCCTTCCCTATTCAATGGCTTGTGTTCCACAAGTAAAATATGTTAAAGCTATCTAAGGAAGAAATCAATATATACTAGCTAGCAACTGGGAGTCTCTCTCTCAGCAGGTGAAGTCCTTCTATTCTTAAACTGTCCTGATATATTAAGTACCGATGAATCTCATTTTATATGCATGTTAGTACAAACGTTATTACAAAATAAACTTCATGTCCAAACACTATGTGTAATGCCCGTCTTCATAACTAGCAGCCATCCAAGCATAGCCAAAGCACAGTTATAGGCTAGCTAGCTATAGCTAGGGAAGAAAGTAAACATCAATTCAGTCTTCTCTTTCTCATATTATTATTGAAGAGCACCTAAACTAATTAATTACCTGTCCCCTGAGTCTCGCTTTCACCTACATAATCAAAATTTAATATTGATTACATTCAAGCCACAATTAATTAACTAGAATAAATATAGAAAAAGGGAAATCCAAGAAGCAGAAACTAATCTAATTGTTGTTCGTATTTAATTTAAAATATAGATTATTTTCACTAATGTCTTTTGTTGGACTCTTATCCGCACCATATTGTTGTTAGTAGAAATTAGATGAGATATATTCAGAGAAAAGAAAAGGAAAGGGTAAAACCTTTTATTTAGCTCCCATGAATTCTTCATTCTTGATTGCAGACTCAAAAGAACTCTATTGTACTCTTTGTTGTTGTCGCCTGATCTTGACTAGGTTCAGGCCCTAACCGAAGCTCAAGGTCCAGACCCCTCCGATCACCGGATGATGACCTGCGAACCAACCGCATCCTCTCTTCATTCGCCCGGCGGCCACCTTCGCTTGCCTTGACATCATCCTCACCTGTGAAAGTGGAAGGTACCTTAAACAACAAATTAGGTAGCTGTTGAATCTCCTCTTCTTTGGAAAGACTGAATGGCCGTTTGGGAGTACTACTACTAGTTGAACTCGAACTTTTCCCTTCAATACTTGATTCTCGTACAGTTACATCTTTGTCTTCAAAATCCTGGGAATGATCAAGTTGATTCCCCGTGGCAATGTCCAAAGAAGGCATGGTTTCATCCGAAGTTTGTTCTCTAAGCTTCGCCCTGTCTCTTCTATGGATGTTCATGTGACCTCCTAGCGCTTGTGCATTTGAGAACCCTTTTTGACAGAAGGAACATGGATAAGACCTAGGAGGATTGCCTGAAATTCTGTCCTCGTCTCTCGATTCCATTTGGACATTCCTGTCTAGATTTCTAGTCTTCATTTTGGAGCTTGAAATTAAGAGGGATAAAGAAGAGTAAGTATAGGAGGTCAACTCCGTCGGTAGTTGAAAATGTTTTCATTGACTGAAATCCTTAGTTACCTTATCACGCCTGCCTTAGTTGTAGAAATAACTAATGCATGAACAACAATTTCTTCTCTTTTTTTATTTAATAAAAAAAAAGGAGGCTGATCATATGTCTTGGAGATTAATGGTCAGGAGGAATATAAATTTGATGTATTGACTTGCTAAAAGCTGCTGCATGCTCCATTCTATATATGTCTCGACCTTCCCTTAACAAAAGCTTCTGTACATTAAAATCAGAGTTTAAATCTATGCAATTAATGTTAAAAAGTTAATTTTTAATGAATCAAATATATATATATATATATATATATTTAACTTTCAGATTCGGTCAACAGCTACTACCTGAGTTCTTGCCTTAATTTGATGACTACTTTATACTGCTCTTTCGGTAAAAATTGATGAAGTGAAAAATATTTAATTTCAAATGTTTATGGATTAAGTGGAGTTATTGTTACATTTTAAATAATTAATATCATTTTTTAATGTAATTACATATCATATACTTGTATTACAGTTTATTTTAAAATTTTATATTTTATATTTTTTAATAAATTAAGTATAATAATTAATTAAATAAAAAAATATAATATTAATAGTTAAAAATATGACAATAACATTATCCCGATATACACCACTCATGAGAAATAACAACAATATCGTTTTGGTCTGATCTTTATGTTTTGGTTTAAAGTCGACTATATTAAAATCCTTGTGAATTTTAGTATTATTTTCCTTTGGGTTAAGCAGGTAACTGATTGATTCTATATATATGCGGCATTAATTAACTGCGTTGGAAAAGTTCATCAATACCCTGGAGGGTTCGAGCTGTGGTCTTGTAAAATTACTAGGACTAAATAATTATCCCACTCCCAAATTCCCCTATTATTCAAAAAATAAGAAATTCACCTAATTAAAAAGAAGTATAGTTTTATAGGATAAGTTCAAAATTTAATTTTTAAAATTAGTATTTAAGAAATAAAAAAGTGTTATATAATTCAAATTGCATAATTTTAATCATGGGGAGGACCCTTTAATATAAAGGTTTCTTTCACCATTCAATAATTTTTACTTTATAATTTA